AAAAAAAAAAAAAAAAAAAAAAAAAAAAAAAAAAAAAATGATGATTTGCCCGCAATGAAGGGACGAAAAGGAAGCGGCAAGAGAGAAAGCACAATACTTTGTTGCTTATTATCAGGCGCGGAGCTGCAATATGCGTAAAAGGGAAAAAAAAAAAAAAAAAATACGCACAGGGGAAAAATGAAGTAAAAATAAGGAAAAAGAAATTAACCAAAATCAGGCATGTTAAGAAGTTGTGCGCAAAGTGTACCAATCTATCAAATGTACGTAAAAAACATATGACAAAAAAAAAATACGTGAGCGCATTTCCGATTTCAGGTGAGAGATTGTTTGCCTTACACTGCATACTTTTTATGGACATGTACGGACACGCATATATTTTTGTGTATATAATATAACGAAGCGGGTATGAAGCGCGGGTGTTAAGCAGCTCCATCAATCAGTCTAGCTATTCCGCTCATGGGTTGAGTACTTTTTATATGCTCTTCTTTTGACCCGCGGGAACGTACCCCTAGCGCGTGGTTGCCCATGGGCAAAAGAAAATTGCGCGCAAACAGGGTGATGAGTAAAAATCGGGAGAGCAAAGAAGCAGTCTCGTCTTTTTTGATCTGGTAGGTTTGTATGGCGACGCATGTGCATGTAAAGCATTTGTATGTGCGCTCACATGTGTAAGTATATCTGTGCGTACACGTACACATGTATACATATGAATATATGTATTTGTCTAAGGCGGCGTTGCGAGGATGCGAACTTTTCACCCTTTTATTGTGCACTGATGCTTTGCCTGCCACTCGGCCGGAACAAGCGCGAAGCAAAAGGAAAGAGAAAAAAAATCGAACGGAAAGGTCATGAGCATATAAATCAGCTGGCACACATTTCGTTATTTTGCAATGTGCGCAATATATATGTATTTTTTTTCCTTTTTCGTATACCCATATATTTATATGTATGTGGTATTTTAAGGCCATTCCATAAGGACTTGTCCTTTCTTCATTCAAATGATCATTAGGATAAAAACTTTGTTTGTTATGTTTTAGTCGGCTCTTTTGTAAAACTCTGGTGTTTTTTTTTTTTTTTTTTTTTGTACTTTGTGCATATAGTAGTTAACCACAGGTATGTACAAGTCGCTCCCAAAGCGGTGAAAGAAAAAAGGTCAAAATGGGTACTTGCCCCGAAGTGGCCGTACTGTACGCGAAATTATGGGCACACATTTACATCAACATTCCGCGTACAGTCTTCCGTACACATTTTAATCCGTGCCACTGCTGCGATAATATGGAAGGTGTAAAAAGGCGGCGATCATCCCGCGGTGGATTTGACATAATTTTTTGAAATTCAAAAAGTTGCAGCTTCAAAAGAAATTTAGGCAAATGGTATAAACATACTTTTGCAATTTTTCTCACATTCGCTTACAGTACGGACCACATGGTGAGAGAAAAAAAAAAAAAAAACGCGTCTTCATACCATATAAAAAGTGTAGTTGAAAAAATTCAAAGTGCACCGCTTGCCCCGCATTGTGTATCTCTTTGCTTATGGCGTTTTTTTTTTTTTTCTTGCACGTCGGGACAGGAAAGTGAATAGTGTGGCCCTTATGGTTCAGGTCCTTAAAAAGACGCGGGCTCCACTTTAACGCAAATGGGAATGCTAATTTGCTCGCACCGCATGTAAGGTGTGTGACGTATGAGGGGGAAAATAAACCATGGTAAGAGGAAGAGGAAAAAAAAAAGAATAACGGATTGACCATTTTGTAGGATCAAAGGTTAGGTCACTTTTGTGTGCCCCTGGGGGGACAAAAGCATTCCTGTCCTCATGTGGGAACAAGTTCCTCTTTCCCCAAAGTTTGTCATTTGGACCACATACCCACGGCAACGAAAACTTTATTACATTTTTTCTCCCCCGTTGATGCGCTGGCAGATATATGTGTTGAGTTCATCCCACTGTAATTACCGTTGTGTGGGTAGAATAAATTGAGCAAGTGTTACGTTCGTAGACAGTGGTATCAGAAAAAAAGGACAACTAAGGAAGGATCATAGAAGAAGCGCCATGCACATACATATATATAAATGTGCATATAGAACCCCTTAACTTGCAGCAGTAATTTATTTCCCCCCCCCCTTTTTTTTTTTATTTCTGCATTTTCTGGTAGTTTTTTTTTTTTTACCCTATTGCTAGAAATGATGGTTTTTAAATGTGTAAAATTTTGGCATTTTACAGGTGCCACCTAAGTTTGTTTGTAAAAAGGTACAAAAAAAATAAAAATAAATAAAAACAGGAAGATACATAAAAATTAGGATATGGTGAATGCCATATGGTCATATTTTCCCCTTTTGGGAAAAAAAAAAAAAAAAACCCATGTGATGCGACATTTTCTGGGGTGAGGAAATGCACTCCTGTTTCGTGCTACAGGTCTGTTCACAGTTTACAAAGAAATGTGATCATCACTGTTGTTGTCGTCTCCCAGTGTTGTGCATGACAACGTGTCCGTGCTGTCCATGGTTGCCTGTCCCTGGTCTCCGAGGAAAGGGGCCCGCTGCTCCCATGGCTGTCCCTGGTCTCCAAGGAAAGGGGCCCGCTGCTCCCATGGCTGTCCCTGGTCTCCAAGGAAAG